TGCTGCTGGAGCCGCGGGCCAGCGTGCCCGTGGAGGCTGCCTCCGAGGTGCTGCGGCGGCTGTCGGTCTGCGGGAGGACCCTCAGTCTGGACCTGGCCACCAGCGGGGCCTCAGGCACGGACGTCCAGGGGGACCCAGGTGGAAAGAAGGGGACCAAAGGCAGGACCAGGACCAGCAGCAGCAGCAGCAGCAGCAGCAGCATCAGGGGCCTGTGGATGCAGGAACCAGGGGCCCTGGGAGATGTTAGGGAGTCCCGGCCCTGAGGGCCCTCGGACCTGCTCTGGTTTCTAATATTGTTGAACTCACTGAGCAGAAGTGGCTCGAGAGCCTTAGGGTGACTGACGTTGCCCCACAGAGGGGATGGGGGCCCAAGGACTAACAGTTGGCTGACCAAAGCAAACCCCTGGTTAGGAGCTAGCTCTGCCTCTGAATTTCCTGGAGGATGGAGACAGTGAGTGGCTGAGATAAGTGTTTGCTGGCAAAACACAGGTAGAGCACAGAGGGCTGGTCCTCCGGCAGAACAGATGCCACATAGTGTCTGTCACGAGCAGGAAAGCATAGCCTTGTTGCAGACTGGAGAGTGGGGGGCTGGGTCCTGGGGTGCCAGGCAAAGCTCTCTGACCTTCTAATAAAGGAAAAGCAGTGGCTTGTTCTCCTGTTTAAACCCCTCAGGAGGGACGAATAACGGAGTGAGAGTTCTTTGTCCAGTCCCTCTCAAGAAGGCCAGGCTGGAACAGGGCACATTGGTGCACGGTGTTAGGTACGCAACGAAGGACATGTGTACTCTTGACCCCACTCCTCTAGTGCTGCATTATCAAATAACCCGCTTCTCGGCTGGAAAATTAGGGCTGATAAAAAGCGTGACTATTTCTAGAGCATTTACATGAGCCAGGCACCAGGCTGACAATAGAATTTAATTAATAATCTCTCGACAACCCTGACAGGGAGGTGTCTTATCCCCATCTCACAGACAAGGATATGAGCTGTGGAGAGGCTGAGTGTCTTGCCCGAGATCAAGCAGAGAGCACAGGCAGTGCTAGGACTCGGAACCACGTCTGTCCAACACCAAAACCCATGCCCTTGACCTTGACACTAGACTGCCAGCCAAGGAAAGGAACGGAAAAGTCCCCAGAGGTGAGGGCTTGCCTGAGCTCCCCTCCAGAAACATGGCTGAGGAGTATTTCAAACATGGCTGCACAGGCCCGCGCGTCAAGCCCAGAGCGAAGGGGACTGATCGGACCTGACGCAGGCCTAGGCCTCTGCAGAATCTTGTCCTTTCCCAGCCCTTCAGGTACAGACATCATCTTCCCAGAAACCACTGCTCGCAGGGAAATCTTTGTCACAGCAGGTTTGGGGCCTGTGAATTCAGGTGCGGGAGGAGAGTGTGTGAACCAGCCCCATGAAATCGACAGTGACAGCAGCAAACCTTCCAGGGGAGGAGGGAGTGAAGAAACAGCAAATACCTTCCCAAGACTCAGCCTCATCATTCTCTTGGAAATTTCCAAGCTATCATTCAGCTAGCTGCTCCATAGTGTGGTGATTTCCTGGACACTGAAGGCAAAAATTCCTCTGTTTCCCCTTTTGGAGCTCAGTGCTCATGTCTACTGTCCACATAGATGGGTCCTTCATACTCCTAACTAGGGCTAATGAAAGCCAAGCAAACTTAGAATGCAGTGTGGCATCATTATTCCGCTGTCCTATTTTACAGATGAGGAAACTGAGCCCCAGAGCTAAGTGTTTCAGGAGCAGGGTCTCTGGGTCTCTGATCACCTCAACCAAGAGGAGTGATCTCCTTACAGTCTGACCAGCCAGGTGCCCAGCACAAAGCAACATATGATGGATACCCACTGAATGAATGGAAGAATGAAATAAAAATGCTTCAGAGTTTCCTTTTATCTATATTGGAGCTCCTAGGACAAAAAAAAAAAAAGTTCCCTATGTAAAAGCAAGCCTGAAAACCATAGCACTAGACAGGCTGACCTCCCATTTGCTAATGGGTTTTCAGTACAGAGCTGATGTTAGGAGGGTGGACAGAAGAGATGGGGGAGCAGGTGACCTGAGGAACCTTGAAGCATGGTTGGCAACCAGAGCATTGGATATACTGGATTACTGCCTCCTTCCTGTCAAGATCTTAAAATCTCTAGACCTTGGACCACCCCCCAACCCCCCTGAATACTGGGCAAAACTTGGTGTATAGGCATTTTCCACTGTAAGTAGAAGACAAAGTTCTCATCAGATTCTCAAAGGAACCAGTGACCTATAAAAGGTTATGCGGGCACTGCTCTAAGTCACGATCTAAACCTCCACAGACATGAGTAATTTTGGTATAAGGAGTCTGAACATTTTATAGCAAGGAAATGGCAGGACAGAAAAGGCTGACTGGCCCAAAGACACGTGGCCGGACTGCGGCAGGGCTCAGGTTTAGAATGACGTTCGTTCCTATATATCAAGGGTTCTTAACCTGGGACCGTGGGTGGGCTTCAGGGTCTATGAATGTGCTGAATCGCTCACAAGATTGGGAAGTGCACTTTGCTATGGGAGGGGTCAGTGCTCCCATCAGATTTTCAGAGGGTCCGGGAGCTAAGTAAGGTTAAGGACCACAGCAGTCCTCTAGTTGGTCCTCGGTTTGCCTTCCCTGCAAAGCCTGGAGAACTCCTGGGCAGAGCTATTCTGAGGCACCAACCTTTGCTCAGGGTGGAGGGGAAGGCACTGAGGGTTGTACTCTCCCCTGCACCATGTGACCCCCTCCTAGCACGCTTATACCAGACACAATATACGTGGGATAGAACCGAGTGGGCTGAACAGGAAGGTCACAGAAACTTCTTGACGTCAGCCGAGATGTCAAAGCTGCGACTTTGGACATGCTCAGAACAGTTTCCCCAAGTTGGACTCTGTCCTCTGGGAGACTGAGGGAGCAGGCGAGCCAGCGAGCACTCAGTTAAATGTCATCTTAATTTGGAAAGCGCAGAGGGAATTTTTTTTTTTTTTTTTTTATCAGCAATCAGACGGTCTGCAGCACCAGGAGTAGAATGCAGTGCTCATTCTGAGCCTGGGCCAGCTCAGAGATTGACAGAGCCCTCTCTGCCTGTCACCCTGACTTCAGGTTGGCAGCTCAATGACCCTACCTCTTCTGGCGGAAATGAGTGATATGGCAACCACCATCCTTGGGATGCTGGAGAGAACCACAACCCAAAAAGAAGACAGGAGTGGAGAGGCTCAGCTGGGCACGGAAAGTGTACCTAGAAAATAGGTCAGCATTCTCAGCCCTACTAAGTATTGGGTACGAGGTAGTGGATGGGGCAAGGAGGGAGGCATGATCAGAAACACAAGTCAATAAACATTTTGAATCTGTTGGGAAATTACTATGCATCAAAAGTAGTACTGGGGGGGGGGGGCTTATATAGAATCAATCCCTTCAACAAATATATTTAAAGCATCTGCTAGGTGTAGGGTAGGTTTGATGTTGGGTGGAGAAGGGGCAATGCATAGAATCACTCATTCACTGAATAAATGTTTACTGAGCATTGTATTAACGCAAAGACATAAGGAGCCAAACAGCCTTATTCCCACTGTAGCGTCAGGGCTCTCTGAAAACAGTACCTCCGGATAAGGAAACTGAGGCAGCAGAGCCTCCCAGAAAGGCTCGTTGCTGAGGGCACCAGGCCCTGAGCCTCAGGTCACCCAGCATCCTGACCCAGGTTGGCCCTGCTGGCAGAGGCCACCTCCCTGTCCTCCCCCTACATTTCCTTTCAGGCCCTGACAATGAGTCATTAGTAACGGAATTTTAATGGCAAAAGCACACAGTTCTGGGTCTGCTGAGGAAGACCATCCCCTGGGGCTGTGTGGAGACCGCAGTGACTGAACAGCCAAGGATTCCTGGTCCCTTGAAAACATTTCTCTCATGACTTCCCCATCCTTCCCTCTCTACAACAAGAGCTTAAAAATATCCCACCTCCACGCTTGGCACCTCAAATGGAACCGGTACTTAATTTGTAATGACTGAGGGGGAAGGAGGCCCGCATCTGGCCATCACCACACAACACCCAGTGTCCCTGGACAGTCTGAACTGCCCCTGGGCCCAGGCGCGGCCCGGAGGCAGCAGTAGTCGGAGAACCCGAAAGGATAGCAGGAAGGGAAGAGGCTGGCCCCACGCGAGGACCAGCAGTGACTCCCTCAGAGCTGCCCCTCGGGGGCTCACGGCGATCTGCAGGGCGCCGCTCTGTGCTCAGCTCCACGAGGGAAGCACCGGGTTAACCACGCTCTGTGCTGCAGGACTTCTTGGAACCCTGAGTTCGCTGATGTGCTTTGTGAATCTATAAAAAGGGGGCGTGTAGTGCAGCGCTTCCCAAACTTATTTGACCACAGAAACCTTTTTTATTTTTATTTTGCAGAGATTACTGCACTTCACAGCTTGAAACCCAGAGCTTTAACCAATGAGTGAATGGACCCTACCTACACAGGCCGGGCTAAGTGCTGAGGGTACTGGAATAAAAGGAAGACAAGGCCGCTGCCCCGCGGGAGGGCAGCCCTGGAAAGGCAGCAGGGGCGGGGAGGCAGGGGAGCTGGAGGAAGCTTAGGCTCCAGCAATGACAGGAAAGGGACAGCACTAGAGGCCGGGGAAAGGGTGAGCAGCAGGCAGGGCAATGTGGACCCTCCCCTCAACTCTTCCCACCTTTGAACCGGCCGAGCAGGTGGTCTTTCCCATCTGAACAATCACTAGGGGTTTTGGTCGTTAGTCCCTCCCACACCCGCCTCTCAACCACGTCTATGCTATTGAACTTGGGCTCACATCCAAAAACTAGGGCACAGCTATTCACAAATTCAGTAATTGAAGTCATTAGCGTTGACTCAGAAATCATTTTTTCTAAGTCTCTCTCTTGGAGAAGCTTTTAAGACCCTTTAAATTGTTTAATGGAAACTTTAGAGACGAGAATGGAGCCTAGGCTGTCAGCTCCCCGTGCCCGTCTCCCTGGCTCTCCCCAATACACTCAAGGGCAGAGTGATGAGATAATCCCATATCTGCTTTATTAAGCTCCATGCGCTTCTGGCACACCCTGCACAAACAAAGACCACTCAAAATCCACACTCTCCCGCTCCAAGAGTCCAGGTACTCGATCTCCATTCACTCCCTTACATCCTCAGGATGATAAAAACACTTCCACGTAAAATCCCAGTGTGAGCAGCACAGAGCGCCTTGGACCAGGAGCCAGGAGGTCTGGCACCCCTCCTGGCCTGGTGACTCATGAACCCACGTAAACACATGTGCCTCCTCAGGTCCTGTCCACAGTGCAATGCCCATAGCAGCCCTGCGGAGTAGGAGGGCAGACACCATTGCTCTTGGTCTACAGCAGAGGGACAAGGCGGTGAGTCAAGCTACTCACTGCTTCAAGGTGACGGGGCCATGCACAGTGGCGTGGCTAGAACCTGGGTCTCACACACTCTCCTCCTCCTTGCTGTGCTAGGGCAGGTTCTTAAGGTTCTTTGGGAAGGTGGGTGGATGACTGGCCTCTTCTTTGGGACTCAAGCTGTGGTATCTCTCTGGAGAACCCACAGGCTCCATCTTCAGGGCTGAAGTGAGAAGGTCTGAAAAAAAGTTAAACAGATACAGCAGGCAGTTAGGCAAGAAATTCCCAGCCAGACATTCATGAAACCGCTGGAGAGGAACAAAAGTGAACTGGAACAAAAGCGAACTGATTCAGTGATCCCCGTGGCTTAGCTGTTCACGGAACCACCTCAGGACTTTTTCCACCTCTCTGGATCTGTGTTCCCTTCTATGCAATGTCACAACGCTTTCCTTGAACTGGATTCACTGTTCTTCATGTCTGTGAAACTACAATATAATATGCTAGTCACATTGTTACATGATATATTAAATATACGCTACTAAAATAAAAACCATCAATATGAATACCACCTAGAATCCTCTTGTGAACCACCAGAGGCACACGTATCAGATGCTGGCAAAAAATGATGTAGTCTTGCCCTGGCCGGCGTGGTTTGATGGTTAGAGCACAAGGCGGCACTTGCGTGCGTGTGGCAACTAATCAATGTGTCTTTGTGACATCGATGTTTTTCTTTCTCCCCCCACCCCCTTCCACTCTCTCTAAAAATCAATGGAAAACATATCCTCACCCCTCTTGTGAAGATTAATTAAAAAAAAAAAAAATATATATATATATATATATATATATATATAGTCTAAGCTTGAGGAAACTATGGGGAGGGAGAAGGTAACTGATTTGCTCAAAGACAAAGGCTGAGGTGAGGACCTGGGTCTCTGGAGCATTCAGTACCACTTTTTTATAGGTCACTGAATGAATCATTTGTGTGCACAGATCAGAAATGCCTGTGATTTACCCACTGCTCATCTGTGAGGCTACCTGGGGGGAAAGGATCTTTAGAGATGAGGGAACAGGTTTGGATAATAATTTGGATAATAGTTTATTAGCCATGCACTTGAAATTGCTGGAGAACCTGGCTCCCACCTGAATTTCCACCCTGGAGAGGCACATGACCCCTATTTTTATTGTCATCCAACTTCCTCCCTGCCCTCCCCCCTGCACCAGTGAGAGGTACAGCGACGGCTTGGTCTCACCTTAGCCAAAACCCAGTCTGACGAGACTCCTTTCCAAGGAGTGTGGGGGCACAGCCATGGTGGGGGCCTGGGGGCTGGCTCTGAGATGGCCACTTCTACAGAGGAGGCCGAGGTTCCCTGTGCTCCAGGCATGTGGGAGGTGCGAGGCTCCTGCCAGCAGGGTGTTCAGGCTGCAGAGGGCGGGGCTGGAGAAGGACTTCAACCCTGTGACTGCCAGGTCCTTGGGCCCCAAGCCTGTGAGGAGAGGTGAGAGTAACTTACTCATGCTGTATTCTGGGACTCCTATTTTAGAGCAAGGAATTATTTATTCATTTATTTATTTAATTTTTTAAATTTTATTGATTATGGTATTGGAATACTTTTCTTAAAAAACAACAACTCACAAAACTTTTATTGATTTCAGAGAGGAAGGGAGGGAGAGGGAGAGGGAGGAGGAGAGGGAGAGGAAGAGGGAGGAGAGAGAGAGAGAGAGAGAAATATCAATGATCAGAATCATTGATCGGCTGCCTCCTGCACACCCGCTGGGGATGGAGCCCACAACCCAGGCATGCGCCAGTGACTGGAACTGAGCCTGGGACCCTTCAGTCTGCAGGTGGATGCTCTATCCACTGAGCCAAACCGGCTAGGGCAAGTAAGGAATTCTTAAAGACTTGGTTCTCCCTGGCACTGTTAACCCAGCCCGAGTGACTCCTGGGTGAGCAGGGCTCTCGGAGTCCTCACAGGGTAATGCAGGGCATCAAGGCAGCCTCAGGATGTCGTCTCTCCTAGAAAATCACCAGGGCAGCTGCCATTTATTTAATACCTACTGTGTGCCAGCCTTGCTAGGCCCTTTATGGTCATCTCATTTAACCCTTACAACTACCGGGTGGGTCAAGTACTACTAGTACCCTCATAGTCAAAGGTGAAGAAGCTGAGGCTTGCTGAGACCAGTTTGGCTCAGTGGATAGAGTGTCAGTCTGTGGACTCAAGGGTCCCGGGTTCAATTCCGGTCAAGGGCATGTACCTTGGTTGCGGGCACATCCCCGGAAGGGGGTGTGTAGGAGGCGGCTGATGAATGTTTCTCTCTCATCGATGTTTCTGACTCTCTATCCCTCTCCCTTCCTCTCTATAAAAAATTAATAAAATATATTAAAAAAAAAAAAAAAAAGAAGCTGAGGCTCGAGGACATGGAGCCCAAGTTCAGTGACAGCATAGGGGTCAAAACAGGTTTGTCTGACTCAAAAAGCTGTGCTCTTACCTATCCACTGGGGCAGGAAATAGCAAGGAGATCAACAGCTATTGCCACCCTTTCCTCTGACGGGGAGGGGCCCTGTGGGCTCTGACCTGCACCTGCACCTGCTGCCTCCATGGACAAGAGGGTCTGCAGCCTCTCCCGGGCGGGCTCATTCCCCGCAGCCGCTGACTGCTGGTAACATCGCACAGCCTGTCCCAGACTCCTCTGCACGCCAAGGCCCTTCTCATAGCAAATCCCCAAGTGGTACCTGCTCTGTGAGTCCTACAAGAGAAAACCGACAGACCACAGATACACACTGCTTGCTTTCATCCATGAAATAAATGCTCTGTGAAACAAACTCTAGGCCATGCTGCCTGGGTGCTAATGCCCCCAGTTCAAAGACACCAGACATCCCCCAGCAACAGCTCTGGGCCTTCATTTCACGTGTCTTCTGGGTCCCCTGGATTACAACACGTGTAACGTCGCACCTGTATGTACAACTTACAACATGCTTTCACACATGTTATCTTAGTCAGATTTTGATCCTCACGACAACCCTGTGAACTAGGAGGCTGGCAGGCATTACTGTCCCAATTTTAAGAAATGAGGGAACAGGTTTGGATAATAAATGACCAGCTCAGTAGTCTACTGGTTAATATGTAACACCTGGCTCTGCAGGGGGGAAGGAGGGGAAGCACCCTGTACTGACGCATTCGCAATTTTCATGGTGCCAATACTCCAACCATCATTGATTTTTACATATAACAGCTCTCACAGGCTGGTTTGAGCCAGCTCCAGCACACCCTGGGACTTTCGCAGGTCACACATAAATCAACAAGAGTTTGAAGCTGGCCCAATTCTCCTATCAAAAAGTCCTCTAAACAGAATAGAACTCAGTACCAGTTCCAAAGTCCTTTCCTTTATCAGAGTGGGTCCCCAACATGCCTGGATATTGAGATCTCATACCCCATTGTTGGCAGCAAGCCAAAGGTATTTCACAGCTCTCTGCTCGTCCAAGTATGGTTCCTTGGTGAAAAGCACCCCGAGGAAAGCTTGGGCCTGTGGTCAAGAAGGAAGGAAAACCTATTTTGGTTGCTGCCAGGCTCCACCCACCCCAGGTGCCCAGGAGAGACCCCACCCATAGCTCCCACCTCTCTCAAGCCTGAGTCTGCAGCCTGCTTCAGCATGGACACTGCCCTCTGCCGCTCAGGGGCCCACGAGGAGGCTGAGCCTTGTAGCAGGCACCTGGCATAGCGGTACTGAGCCAGGCTGTGGCCCTGGCTGGCAGCCAGCTGGTAACAAAGCACCGCCTGGGGCAAAGGAAAAACACCATCACTGCAAGTAGCTTTTTCTTTGATTGAAAATTCTAAATGTTATTTTAATTAAATAATACATCATGATTACGGATTAGTCAGAAAATGCAGATAAGCCAAAAAAAAATTTAAATACAGATGAAACGAAGAATAGAAACATACAATCACAAGAAATCCTCCCTCCTAAGGATCATTCTGTTAACGCTTCAGTGTACAGCTTTGCAAATCTCTTCATATACATGCTTATATGTGTACACACATATACTACATATATTTACACACATAATATGTGTGTATAGGGAGGGAGCTAGAGAATGACATTCACTATTTTGTGACCTATTTTTTCATATAACAATACACCATGAATGTCTTTCTCAGCCAATAAATATAGATCTAGCACATTATTTTTAAGGTCCACAGAGATGTTATTAACCAGTTCTCCACTGAGGAAACTTCAGGTTGCTTCCCTTTTCTTTGCTATCATATACAATTTTAAGAAATTCACTCTTGCATATAACATCTTTCTGTACTTATCTTGCTGTTTTAGAATTAATTAACCCACTCACCAAAGTAAGACCCTAGGCCCTGAGGGTGTGGCTGCAAAGAAGAAAGACCACGGCCTGACCTACCTGAGTTTGGAGTCTAACTTCCTAGAAGTCAGAGCTTTTAAAAAACGTTTCCCGCACAGGTGGGAGAGCCTGGACTTTCCCCGCCCTGCCCACTGCTCCTTCCTGGAGGTCACTCTGGGCCTGTGGCGCAGGGGGTGGGTCTGGGGAGAGGAGGTTGGTACCTTGCCAAGGTCCTTGGAGGTGCCTCTGCCATACTCATGACACAAGCCCTCGTTGTACTGTGCTTTGCTGTAGCCACGCTCTGCTGCTTTCTGAAAGTAGGAAAAGGCGGCCGTGTGGTTCCCATTCCTCACGTTCTCTGTCCCTGTAAGAAAGCACAGGGTGTAATCACTCACTGCTTCCCCTGGGAGCTTCCCCACAGCCTCGGCCAGGTACCCACAAGCTCCTTCCTTTCTTTTTGGTGCTGGGCATTTGCATATATTTCCCTTCTCCAAATATTTCACTGGTTTGCCATACACCTCAGTGGGTTCTGCCCTCCTCTACACTATTCTCCTCTTGGCAATAGGATGCAGAGTTCCCTTTGGGACTAGCCCTCCCCCCAGTGCTGTCCATCATCGTGTCTCCTCTCTTCCCAACCAATGAGAATCTCCCTCAGAAATCTGATTCTTCATCTCTTTGTGACCAGAGAGAAAGAGCTTTTGCAGTTCGTTCTGAGGACAGCACTTTGAAGTCACTGTAGGTACTGGCCCCTGGGTCTACGGCTTCCCTGGCTCCTGTCCGTTCTGAGGCTCAGCAGGTCAGCAGGTCTCAACAGACTCCTGCTGTGTTTAAGTTAGCCAGAGCGAGTTTAGGCTGTTTGTAACCAACAAGCTCACACAGCTGATACTGCTAATGTTGCTTTATGAGGACACTGTGAGAGATTAATATAAAAGAGCAAAGACCTGAACTCAGGTGTGTCCAAAGCCCAGGTTCTTTTATCCTCCAAATAAAAAGGAAAACAGGAGAGGGGCTGGGCACAACCCATCTCAAGTCCAAGCCTTTGCTCAACTGTTTCTCCTGCCTGGAATATCTTTTTCTGCCTCCACCATCTGGCCTTCGCATCCTGTTTCTGCTCTAGAACCTGCAGACCACACTCAGGCTTGAAACACTTCTTTGGCACTTACTTAATATACAAGCCTTTTTCTCTGAACTAAACTGTTTCAAGAATATAAGCCCTGTCTCCTCAATTAGACTAAAATCCTGGAGGCAGATGCAGAAAAAGAATGCAAAAGAAATAACTTTGCACAGGGTGAAAGCTCTATACAAATGCAAAATATGATTATGGCTTATGCTCCTTTTGTGTTCTGTCACAGCGCTTAGCACTTGCTGAATAAATGAATATATGAATGAAGGAATGGGCAAGAAAATTCTCAGAAGAGACTGTCTGCCCATCAAAATCACAAAAAGCTAATGAGGCAGAAGCCAGGCTGCATTCAGCCGGCAGTGAACTGAAGTCGCCTCCCTGCTGCCTGGAAACTCTCCCACCAGGACTGAGTCCTCTTGTCCTTGAGAAGGCTCAGAGGACAAAGGACCCCACCCTGTCCCCATTCCCCTCACTGGCTCTACCAACATACCCTGATCCATCTTCCTTTCTCAGTCTCCTCTGCCTGTAACCTAGACTAAGCCATCATCGCATTTTGCTTAGTCATCAGCAACAGTTCAACTCAGTCTCCTGCTCCCTCTCTGGCATCCCCACATCTGTCTACATAACTGCCAGAGAGATCTTCAAAAAGTAAATCAGATCATGTGACTGCCCCTCTTCCTGCTCCAGTGTAAAACCCTCTAATGGCTTCCTGTCTTAGCAAATCCACACTGTACCATGTCTCAGAAAAGCTTACTTGATCCAGCCCCTGCTTGCTTCTCTTGACTTCATTCTCCCCATGATCTCTAAGCTCTAGACGAGTGGTTCTTAAGCTTTCTAATGCCGTGACCCTTTAATACAGTTCTTCATGTTGTGATGACCCCCAACCATAAAATTATTTTCACTGTACTTCATAACTATAATCTTGCTACTGTTATGGATCATAATATAAATATCTGTGTTTTCTGATAGTCATAGGCTCTACAGCAGCGATTCTCAACCTGACCCACAGGCAATGGGGAGAATGAAGTCAAGAGAAGCAAGTAGGGGCCAGATCAAGTGAGCTTTTTCTGAGCCATTGTACAGTGTGGGTTTGCTAAGATAGGAAACCATGACCCACAGGTTGAGAAACGCTAGCAGAGTTGCCTAAGACCATCAGAAAACACAGATATTTACATTATGATTCATAACAGTAGCAAAATTACAGTTATGAAGTAGCAACGAAAATAATTTTATGGTTGGGGGTCACTACAACATGAGAAACCGTATTAAAGGTTTGTGGCATTAGAAAGGTTGAGAACCACTGCTCTAGACACACTTACCTTTCTTTTGTTCCTCCAAAAGCAAAATCAGTCCTGCCTCAGGACCTTTGCACTTGTTGTTGCTTCTACTTGAAAAGCTGTTTCTCCAGATGGAAACAAGACTGGCTTGTTTTTGTTTATCAGGTCTCAGCTCAAGGATCTTCCCATCAGTAAGGCCTTCTACTGTAAATCAAACATTTCTTGCCCAAATCCCCCTGTTTAATTTTGGCCATAACATTTATCACTATCTGAATTCTCTTTAACTGTTTGCCAATGTATTGTCTTTCTCTCCTTCAACTCACGTTAATTCCAGGAGAGTAAAGATTTTGATTGTCAAACACTAAATCCCCAACACCTAAAACAAGGCTGAGGAAGGTCAACGCTCCATAAATTTGTTCTGAGAGAATCCCAGCCTCACACTCACCTGCCTACTAGACTCCAACAGATGCTGCTTGGGAGTCTGGGTCTCCATATTAGAAGGCCTGAAACTTAAGCCAAGTCACTGTGGAAACCAGGACACATGGTGAAGGGGCCTCTGCAGTCTCCAGATGTGGGTAAGAAGTTCTTATTCATGCACCTGAGGGCCTGCTCCAAACTCAGGAGCCTGTTCTTGCCTACATGTGGCAGAGCATGCAAGGTGTTCTCCAAAATTTACTTCCTGCTTCTTAATAGTAGGCATATGGTCATTCAGCTGAAGACCACATTTCCCACGCTGCTCTGTGATGAGGGTGGCCATAAGCCTACATTCTGGGCATTGATTTGTGCAACTTCTCAGTCATGTTCTTAAAGGGAAGGAGTGGCCCTTTTGATTTCCCATCTATAGGGGTGTCGAACTCAATCAGAGAAGGGGCCAAAATCTAAAATCCAGCCTAAATCGCGGGCCGAATGGTTTACTGAACAGTCATAAACTGTCATTGTGATGGAAACGCAGCGGAGTGCAGTGATGACAGCGCGGTGCGGGCCACATTGCAAGGCCTGGCGGGACAGATTTGGCCCGCGGGCCTTGTGTTTGACACATGTGGCTAGAATATGGCAGGATTTAGAATAGCCAACTAAGACCTCAAGATAGGAGCCAGTTTGAAGAATGGCAAACACGTCTGAATGAGAATGGGTCCCTGTTACCACAGTGCTCCCAGGCCAGATTTGGTTTACCTGGGGGAAAAGAAACTGTCTCTGGTTTAAACCAATCCCTACTGTGCTCTATTTGACCTTCTCCATACCCTTTCCATTTTCCCATCTGCCTGCCTTGAGGGAGGGTCCACCTAGTTACCTAGAAAGTTGAAAGCGATGGAAACAGTGAGCTGGAAGAGTTGCTGAATGGAAGTCACAGCCTCCTCGAGGGAAAGTGTTTTTGATTTATCTTGTTCCTGGGAAGAAATACAAAGAGACTCGTCACTTGGGGGGAGGGGGTGTTACTGGGATTGCCACCTGCCCAGGGCAATGTTAGAAAGATCCAGGTGGCCAAATCTGGACAATACCTGCTTTTCACCAGTGAGCTGAGGCTGGGCTGGTTTTGCCTGGGAGCTGAAGCTGCTGCTGGCATGCAGGAAGCCGACATCACTGGGATCTGCACGGGAAAAGGCCAACAACCAGCCAGGGCAAAGAAGAAAGTAATTTCTCCTTTTCTCCCACTTTCCCAGTCTCCCAGCCCCTCCAGCCAGCACCACTGCCAGGAGCCACAATAACCATGAGCTACCTCAGCAAGCCTGGGGCCTCACAGGAATGAAAAGTCCCTTACAACAAGAAATGTTCACCAGTCCAACTTCCCACCCTGCCACTGCCTTCTGCTGATTCTAGGAGGTAGGGACATACATACCTTCCTCAGGGGGCTCCCGAAGATCAGCTGCTCTCAAGGATCTGTGTGAGGAGGGGCTCTCGGGCTGAGTGGAGGGCTCTTCCTGGCCCAGCCTGGGTTCCCTGAGGCCAGTGTGCCTGGGAGCTGGGCTGTCAGGGCTGGGGAGAATGTGCCTCCGCAACGCTGGAAGAGCCGGCGACAGCAGTCACATCAGGAGGGGATCAGTACAGAGAGCTCGGGGAAATTTGGGGGAACCAAAGGAAGAACCTGGAGACTCCTGTGACACCTCCTTCACAGACCTCCTCCTCCATTTCCCTTGCTGGCTTCCACTGCATGGATTTAGAGGGACCCACATTTACGCTGACCTCCTGCCTGATGCATAAGTCACTCTTCTGCTTTAATCTTCCAGTGGCAAGGAGGCATCTACTCTATTTGTTCACTGCTGAAGCCCCAGCACCCAACACTGCGTTTGAGGATAATACCGATAATGATGGTATCATAACAATAAGGGCAAGAATTTAAACTAATACTTACTGAGCACTTCCTGTGTGTCAGGCACATATGTCCTTATATTAATTCATTTGGTCCTCCCAAGAAACTTATTATTTCCTCCTTTTACAGATGAAGAAACTGAGGCATAGGAAAATTTAAAATGACTCGTCTAGGGAACCAAGACTAGTATACAGCAGCTATGGGGCTTGAACCCCAATAGTCTGACTCCAAAGCCTTAACCAATTGGCTTTATTACCTCTATACCCTGGTACATAATAGCTACTCAATAAAGATACATTTATTAAGAAATGATTGAGCAGAGAATGAGCTAACTGGCTCAGAGATAGACAGGAAGCCACACCCAGGATCTACAGTACACGGCACCCCAGTGGGGCTCCCTCCATGGGAGGACATTGGAGGGTAGGTGTGGCCCACGACCTGGGTGGATGGAACTTCCTCACATTCTCCTTCCTCTGACTTCAGATAGGAAAGGCAAGGAGCTGCTGATGGCTCTTTTCCTGAGGTGTGTCCAGAGATGCTTCCTGGCCCAGCGAAACGCCCAGCCCAGCCCTCCTGTCCCCCGGACTGAGAACTCACAGGAGCACGGATGCCACAGGGGAGATGAGAGGAAACAGTCCAGGGGACTGCGCCAAGAGCCGTGCTCCGCTCGCCACGGTCCTGCTGGCAGCGATGCCTGGAAGTGGATCTGCCTTGCCAGCTGCAGGGCCAGCACAGCCAGAGTGCCCTGGGAAAGACAGCCCATTAGGGACACAGCTGTCACCAGTCAGTCCGTACAGTCCTAGCCTGCAGCTCAAACATCACTTCCAGAAGCCTTTCCTGACTCCTGGTGAGGGCAGCTCCTCCACTCCATCCTCTCTCAGCACCCAACTTCCCCTCTGAAACCCTGATCATACTGGTGCCTAAGCAATCATCTCTACAATTATTCCACTAAGGTCTGACTCTCCTGCTAGTTTTAAAGCACCATGAGGGCAGCAGGAATCATGTCTGTTTTCCTCACCAGTGGAGCCTGACACCTCGTAGGGTGCTAAGATATACATGCTGAGTAAATGCCAGTTACTGAGTAAATAGTCTAACCAGGCAAAAAGACAATGTGGCAAGTTGGGGCTCTGTACAAATGCAGGAACAGGTCAGCGTTCCCACCAGGCTCACTCTCCTTCTCTAACCTGGCACAACTCTTCCCTTCCCTTCGCCCTGACCAAGCCTCCCCATCACACACATCTTCACAGGTGCGGGCTTGGTAAAAGTGTCTCATCTTCAACGGGTCTGCAGAAAACCTCAGCAAGCTCCTACCCAGTGCTGCTTGGTTTTCCCTCCCCCTTCCTATATATTGAAAAGGACACCCGAATACTCATTATGCAACAGGAACTGGGTACAATGACAAGACAGACACAGTCTGCTCCAGCGGAGTTTATCATATTCATTGATAGAGAAAGACAAAAACCTAAATACACAACAAAGGAAGAACTACAAGTTATGCTAAAGGAAACAAATCAGCCAAAACCGGTTTGGCTCGGAGGATAGAACGTCGGCCTGTGGACTGAAAGGTCCCAGGTTCGATTCCGGTCAAGGGCATTTACCCTGGCCGAAACCGGTTTGGCTCAATGGATAGAGCGTTGGCTTGGGGACTGAAGGGTCCTGGGTTCGGTTACGGTCAAGGGCATGTACTTTGGTTGCGGGCATATTCCCAGTAGGGGGTGTGCAAGAGGCAACTGATCGATGACTCTCTCTCATCGATGTTTCTAGCTCTCTATCCTTCTCCCTTCCTCTCTGTACAAAATCAATAAAATATATTTTAAAAAAAAAGGGGGGGGGCATTTACCCTGGTTGGATGCAGGCACATTCCTGGTAGGGGTGTGGAAGAGGCAGCTGATTGATGATTCTCTCTCATCGATGTTTCTAACTCTCTATCCCTCTCTCTTCCTCTCTGTAAAAAAATCAATAAAATATATATATAATTTTTTTTAAAAAAAGGAAACAAATCAGGGTTTACAGAGTGTAAGAGGGAGGCCTGACAAGGTAAGTAATCAGGGAAACACTCTCTATTGAGGTGACGTGTGAGCTGAGGCCAGAAAGAAGAGAAGGTGCTGGCATTGTCAATAACAGGGCTATGTACCCAGGCTCTGAGGACAGCTTGTGCTCAGGCCCTTTCACACGGGCAGCAGTGACAGAGCAGAGGGATGGCATCAGGACACCTGGGATCCAGGTCCAGTTTCCAAAAGATTCTCTGGGGGATTACCCTAGGGCTTGGATCTTTGGCAAAAATGGGAAACTGCTTGCCCTGGCCGGTGTGGCTCCCCTGGTTGAGCGTCCTATGCACAAAAAGGTTGCCAGTTTGATTCCCAGTCTGTGTGTGTACCAGAGGCAACCAATCGATGTTGCTCTCACATTGATGTTTCTCTTTCTTCCTCTCACTTTCTCTCTCTCAAAAAAAACAAAAAAACCAATAAAATATATTTTGTTTTAAAGGGAAAATGTTCCACTCTCCAAAGTGTGTTATGCCTCTAGTCCACAGCTTCCCAGACAGAAGTGCCCCTGTCATGGGAGACACTCCAGGCTCAGCTCTGCTGATGACACCCACTTACAGATGAGACAACTGAGGCTCAGAGAGATGAAGTCATTTGCCCAAAATATACAGCATAGAAGTGATAGGGATGAGATGTGACAGACACAAAGAATGATGTGTGTGCCAACTTCATTCAAAATACCTTATAAGAACAACCTGGAAGGCAAAGATTCTGCCCTACTAGATTGAGAATCTGACTTTATAGATCAAGTTCAACAAATATTTATTCAGCAGCTGTTATGGGCCAGGATCTGTACTAGATGCTTTTACAAGCCATACTAGGTGCAGGTACCAAGCTATGGAGCATGGTAGATAAGAGTAAGAACTCCAGAGTAAAATCTGGCTCCTCTACTTAATAGTTGTGTGACCTTAAGCATGTTACCTGACGTTTCAGAGCCTAAGGTTCCTCACCTATAAAATGGAGATATCTCCCTTGCAAAACTTTTGTAAGGATTAAACAAGATAAGGCACATATAATACTTTACATTAATAAATAAAATATTAGCTGTTTAGCATTATTTATTGTAAGCTCCATGAAGGCAAAAATCTTATCTGTCTTGTTCTCCACTATTTCTCTAGTGCCTACCAAAAATGCCTGGCTCAGAGGACTTAAACAACAATTTACTGAATAAAAGGAGGAATAAATACATGGAGGGCAGGGGATGGGAAGCATGGCTCTACTAAGTGTACCAGTTAATAATGCAGATTTTTTTCCCAATAGATGGAGATACACATATGTTGATATATATGTAATTTTATATGTATGTTATTTTGTTGTATTAACAGCAAGCTTCAAAACTTCATATGTCAAATTTGCTAAAGGTGTTAACATCAGATATTTTTACACTTAAAAATGTCAAATTTTGTGCAAAAAAAAAAAAAAAAAGAGCATTTGCGGGAAGTTTTAATTCATTACTTTATTTTGAAGAAGTTATCGTATCTTATGGTGATACAATATCGTGAAATGACCAGAATGTGCCAAAAGACACGGCAAAGTAATTTTGCTTTATGATAATGCACCATCACACACTTCAAAGCCAGTTAAAGACACGTTAAAAGATCTTGCCTGGGCCCTGTTTTGGCTCAGTGGATAAAGCGTCAGCCTGCGAACTGAAAGGTTCAATTCTGGTCAAGGGAATGTACCTTGGTTTCAGGCACATCCCCAGTGGGGGGTGTGCAGGAGGCAACTGATCGATGTTTCTCTCTCATCAATGTTTCTAGCTCTCTATCCCTCTCCCTTCCTCTCTATTAAAAAAAAAAGTCAATAAAATATATTAAAAAATAAAGAAAGCAAGATCTTGCCTGGGAAGTATTAACCCACCCACTGTATTTATCAGACCTTGCTCCTTCAGATTACTACCTGTACTGATCGATGGCACACGCACTTTGAATATCACTCCAAAACATACAAAGAAGTGGAAAATTAGGTCTCTGAATGGTTTGCCTCAAAACAAGAAAAGTTCTATTGGGATGATATCCACAAATTACCTGAAAGATGGAGGAAGTGTGTAGCTAGTGATGGACATTACTTTGAATAAAGCACTTTTGATGTTTCTCTTGAAATTATGTTTTCTTTTATTACAAAATTTGCCATTATTAACCGGGACACCTAGTATATCCCTAAATATGCTCCAATGTCACAAAATTACTCAAAATTTGAGTGTGGACACAATGATGCCCTAGCTCTTGTTTCTAGACTATACGTCCATGCAGGATCATTCCCACCCACACTGAAAGTTAAGGACAGGACTGAGGAAGCCTTACCCACGATACCGCATCCCACAAGGTGTTTGGGGAGACACGGCTAGACATCCACTGGAAGGCATCCTTCCATCCATGGGACCGTGGGCCCCTGCTTGTGCCTGGACCTGGGCCATGGGGGTCTGACCTAGATGATGTAATGGAGGCCATTAAGTTCTGTCCCAGGTAAGAGGGAGAGGGGGGCCAGGAGAGGAAACAGGTGAGGGGATGGCAGTATCTCACCTGTCAAAGCTTGGCACTGAGACCAGTAGATTTGAGGAGGTAGCTTGAGACCCATCTGGGCTGGTGGGCTTGGGGGTCACCCCTCGGAAGCCAGGTCCAAGCAGACGGGGAAGAGCTGTGCAGAGCAACAAAAATCAGTCACCTCCATATAAACAGACTTGAGGCAACGGCAGGCCCACCAATCTTCCCTTTGATACTTGGAACCCCAACCCAGGAACCCAGGGATCTCTGGCATCTGACTCTGCAAAAGTTCTTAAAGGATACATGTGGGAATTTTTTGCCTAATACAGATTCTAGGGTGCCACCCCAGAAGCAATAAGCCAGATTGTTACGGTGGGGCATCTATATTTTGATGCTCCTGGCGATTCTGATGCCCTCCTAGGGTTGACAACCACGGTTCTAAAAATGACCAGGCATTCATACACAAATTGAACTCTAGCTCCAAGTTTGGAGTAGTTTCTAAATCTTGCCTCTTCTCATTGGCTCTGCCTACTCCACTGGCCTCTACACCTTTTATTGACTCCACCCACCATCGTTATTTGGCTCCTCCCCCTTGAGCAGCCACACCCATCTCCTTGGCTCTAAGCTCCACCCTCTTCCCCATCAGCTCTATCAACACCTCAAATTTCAACCCCCATCTCTTCGCTGGGGGTGTGCAGGAAGCAGCTGATCGATGTTTCTCTTTCATCAATGTTTTTAACTCTCTATCCCTCTCTCTTCCTCTCCATAAAAAAAAAAAAAAGTCAATACAATATATTTTTTTTAAAAAGAAAGCTCTTGCTAGGGAAGCCCCGCCCCTCCAGCCCCGCCTTCCCCCGCTCTAGTCCGGTTCTCTGCAGCTTCGGCTCGGCCCTCCCTCCTGCCCCTCCTCCAATTCCGGGTCTCCGCTGCCGCGGGACGCGCAGCTTCCACGCCCCTCACTTCTGCTTCGGAGTCCCGGGAGGCGCCACATGTCGTCGCCAACACCAGAGGCTCGCGGCCCAAAAAAGCGAGGCCAAACCGCGGGACAGCGGCTACCACGGCCGCTGCAGCGCCCTCCGGGCGGCGGAACCCGAGGAAGCTCCCAGCCAGCCAATGAGAAAGGGGCCTCGCCGGAAGGACGGTGCTCGGCAAGCGGAAGTGGGGTGTGGGCGGGCTTTGGGTAGCGGGAGGTGAAGTGCGGCAAGGGCGCAGCACGTGGGCTGTGCTGGCACGAGCCCGGGGAGCATGCGGAGGCGGGGTGCTCGCCGCTGGCCGAGCTGAGCCGCCCGAGAAGCGGGACTAGAGCGGCTTCAGTGGCGGCGCAAGAACATCTTGCAGACGCCCTAAAGATGCGAAAGGGGAATAGCCTTCCTCAGGCCATGATGCTGGAAGGGGTGGGAGTGAAGAGGACCATTGGGCGGAGGAGTGGGAAGCCCGCAGTCCATGCTTCCCGTCCAAGGCCCTTAGCCTGGAGAGGTGGGCCCGGCCGATGGCCGTAGGCAATGAAGTCCTGCACAAGCAGGCTCTGATTCCGGGGTTCCAGCGCCTGCTCGGCTTTTGTTTTCACCTTGTAGCCTCTGGCCAACCCCCTCCACTGTCTGGGCACCAGCCTTTGTAATAGAGGGTCAGAAATAGTGATCTGGTTCTAACTGGTTTAACAGGAACAACTTGAATTGCTGTTTTTAAAATACCCAAGAGAGCCCTAGCGGTTTGGCTTAGCGGATAGAGCATGGGTCTGGACTAAAGGGTCCGGGGTTTGATTCTGGTCAAAGGCACAAGCCCAGGTTGCGGGCTCCATCCCCAGTAGGGGGCGTGCAAGAGGCAGCCAATCCATGATTCTCATCATTGATGTTTCTATCTCTTCTCTCCCTTCCTCTCTGAAATCAATAAGAATATATTTTTTATGATGAACAACATAGACTGATGAACAAGAACAGACCCAGAGACAAGGAGGCATGGATCAGACTCGGACCTCAGAGGGAGTGTAGAGGAGGGTGGGGATAAAGGGGATGATCAACCAAAGGATTTGTGCGCAAGCTTATGAGCCTAACCTGTGGTCAGGGACAACAGGGGGGTGGAGGTATATGTGGGGAGAGGTGGGGGATGGGAATGGGGGGAATAAGGACAAATATGTGATACTTTAATAAAGAAAATTTTTAAAATTAAAGATTATAGAATGAAATATTTTAAATAAAAAATATATTAAAAAAACAACCTGAGAACCCACTGCCCCGCTACACCTGTTGTTAATCAGAGCCCTCATCTTCAGACCCAGCCAATGCCAATGATGGGAAAAGCATGGTTCTCTTCTACTGCACTTTAATCCATTAAAATAAAGGAGCTCACATTCAAATATAAGGTGTGTTGATTTCCTCCTCCTTTTCCCCAAGTACCTGACTTCTAGGCAGGTGAAAGTCTCCACTTGGGGTAAAAATACTGGGGGGTACCTACTTTTAGACACAGGCAATTAATATATCCAGTCATATATATTCATATGTTCAATTTTTGAGCCATATGTCAGCCACCATCTTAGAATGAGAAGACAGGGTAAAGAGCATTTGTGGTCTCCAGGAATACCCTGTTTCCCTGAAAATCAGACAGTGTCTTATATTAATTTTTTCTCCCAATTTTCAGGGGATGTCTTATCTTTCCATGAGCTAGGTCTTATTTTCGGAGGATGTCTTATTTTCGGGGAAACACGGTACATGTTCTGTTGTTTTAAGTGTGGCCTCTGGAGTTCCACAAATGGTTTGAATTCCAGCTTTCTTACCTCCTCCCTATGTGTTCTTAGGGAGTTTACTTAACCACTTTAAGCCTCAGGTTCTTCATGTATAAAATAGGAAAAATGCTATCTTCATGCAATTGTGAGGCTTAAGTAAAATAGTACATTTAAAGTGTTTAGCATAGTTCCTGGCGCACAGTAAGAGCCTAGTAAGTGTAAGTGGCTCTTAATTGTACTGGGAGAGGTGAGTAGGCAAAATAAATAGATATTTTTCCAGTAGAAGCATGAGCCCTGGGTTATGGGATACCAGGGAAAGATTCTGAAAAGTAGTTGCATTTGAGCTGGGCCTTGAACTATAAGAGTTTGCCAGCCAATCAATGATTCTCATCTTTGATATTCCTATCTCTCCCACTACCTTCCTCTCTGAAATGAATAAAAGTATGTTTTTTTAAAAAAGAGTTTGCCAGGTGGAAAAAGGCATTGCAAACAGAAGAAACAATAAATAGACTCAGACATGTGAATATTAGGGAACTATTCAGAAATATCCTTGCTTTGGGACTTGGGGCAACCACTTTTCATAGACGTGTGTTGCCGCCTCAAAATAAAATATGCACACTGGTTCGGCTCTGTTCTCCTGGGACTTCCACATTCTTCTTCCTTTCAGCCTGTCTGGTAGTTTATTTTATTCCTGAAGGTTCAGCCACATCTAGCGCTTCAGTGACAATTCCCCAACTATTGGAGCCCTCACTGCTCTCCGCTTTTCCCAATTTCTCTAGCACTTAATTTCTTACCACACAATTTAGCAGTAATTATATGTTGTCCTGTAATTTAATTACCTCATTTGTGTAAGTCTAGTCTCCAGTTCTCTCCCTCAGGGCAGGGATGGCATTTTCTCATGTTGTGTCCCACATTGGGCTTGACATAAACTGTCCACAGAAGATGTTCAAGCAATGCCTGATGACTTGACTGGACACCTTGCACTGCTATGATTACAGACACAGAACACCAGCCCCCAACCATGGGATTTATTGATTCTAGCGTAAATGTATTCACTCCACATATACTATCATTGAGGCTCCTCCGTGTCTGAAGCTAGTTGACATTTTTTGAAGATAAGGTGTCTGTTCCCATATATAAGACTAGAGGCCCGATACACGGAATTTGTGCAAGAGTAGGTCTTCCTTCCCCCAGCTGCAGCACCGGCTTCCCTCTGGCACCCGGGACCTGGGCTTCCCTCTAGCCACTGGCACCCAGGACCCTGGCTTCCCTTCCCTGGCTTCGTCTGGAAGGTTGTCCGGTCTAATTATCATATTATGCTTTTATTATAGATGGCTCGATGACATCTCGTGTCCCTGGTAGTCTGAGAACACTAACAGACCACCTGTGTGAGGGTAGGTGCCTAGAGCAGATGGTGTCCTCGCTGACACACCCAATCACCTGTGGAGTGTGGCCCAGAGGATCACCATCAAGGACGGTAGCTTTGTCCCCTGGCCTTTAGCTTTGCTTGAACTTCAGGCCAACCCGTCAGCCATTCTCTTCTCCCAAGATTGCTCTCTGTTGGCTTGTGGCCCAAGTCAATTTAACTCAATCCCTCTACAAAGGTAAGTGAATGTACTACTGAGATGTCCACTTAACTATCTTTTAATCCCGGTGAGGGTTCTAGACATTTGTTTTGGCAGACATTCTTAATTTGCACTAATCCAATATCTGAGAGCTGATTCTGTGCTGGAGAGTATCCTGAGAGTACAACAATTTTTAAAAAATGAGTGTAGTCCCTGCCCTCACAGAGAAAATAGTCTAGCAGGACAAGCAAACTCAGTAGACAATTAACATACAGAATGGTGTTTTAGTGATTGCAGCATCACAAACTCCAAAATTTTGTGGCTTTAAACAGTCATTACTTCTCACAGTTCTGTGAATTGACTGGGCTCAGCTGTCAATTTTGCTGGTCTCTCTTGGGGTCTGTCAGGAGACTGCTGTTAGGTGGCAGCTGAGGCTGGAGTCATATGAAGGCTCGCCTGGGACATTGGAAAGGCTGAGCCTCTTTGCCATGTTCCACGTGGCTTCTCCAGCTGGTTAGCTGGGCTTCCAAAAACAGTGGCTCAAAACTTCCTAAAAGGACAAAAGTGGAAGCTGCCAGGCTCCCTAAGGCTTAGGCCTGGAACCTGCACAGCTTCACTTCGGCACTCTGTAGGCTAAAACAAATCACAGGATCCGCCCACAGTCAGTGTGGGAGGGCAAGACACAGGGGCTTGAATAGTGGTTAAGAGCTCTTTGGAGATTAGCACGTGCTTTAGTGGGAAAAGTGCGGGCTGCTAAGGAAACACCTAGGAGAGGCTCATACCCTCGGTATGGAAATCCAAGGGAGACTTCCTGAGGGCAGCAACATCTAAACTGATGAGCCTAAAGGTGAGGACTGGAAGCGAGCCAGGTGAAGAAGGGGAAGGGAAAACATAGTTCTGGCTGGGCAAGTGCCCAGGAGGCAAAGAGTACAATTTTAGGTCAGTGTGGTTGTTGAAGGAGTGGTAAGGATATAGGATAGTGATAGCCCTTTTAGTGCAGAGGGGTAAATGGGGCCAGGTCATAAAGTCTTATAAACCTCCTAGATGTCTGGACTCTATCCTGAGGGTATGGCACAGCGAGGAAGGGAGCATGATTAGGCTGGAGGGATCCTAAAAAGGCTATTGGCTGCTGAGTGGGGGATGGGTTGAAGGGATTAAGCCCTTATTTTCCCCATGTCCCTTCTAGCCAGTGACCTTATCTTTATCACTGAGAAGCCTGAGTCATCCCCTCAGCATCATAAAAAAAATGCAAGCTCCTTTGTACAAGTTTGTTTTCTCATTTTAAAATGATCATGTCATAGAAAGCCTGTTATCCAGGAGGACCTGGACATGAGGTTGGTCAAGTGGTCAAACAATTCATACCTAAGTGTGAAGTGAATTAAGGGGACCAGGGAGCATGCCAAGCTCAGTGGATTTACCCCTCACTTAAGTAATGGTTAAGAGAACACCTACTCTAATAAAAAAGTCAAACAGCACTACAAGGCTTATAACAAAATAAAGCAGACCCCTGCCTATTAGAGATCAGCTCTCTACTTTCTAGTCCTGCTCTCTAGAAGCAAACATTTTCAACGCTTTGAGGTTTTAGGAAGCAGCACAGGTTAGAATTGGAATGTCTGGCATCCAACACAGCCCTCCCACTTACAGCTGGGTAATTAGTCAAGTGAATTATATCTTTTACCTCTGTTTCCTCATCTGAAAGATGGGAATGCGAATTGTACCCTCTGCATGAGTAACATAAATTACCTGGCACGTGGTCAGTATATGGTGATAATGAAGAAGGCTCTAACTTGAGAGCAGCTGTGAGGACAGCTGTGGACTTTTAATTGCACACTATGCAAATAAG